ATAATGGCTAACTAACCTTGGTCACCCTTGGGCGGGTTTGCCCTCTCTGGTATCCCTGCAAGTGAATAGACCACCATTATCCTTATCAGAAGGGAGTGGGTCTTATTCAGGGTGAGTCAGACTAATGGTCTAGCCACTACAGATGGCCAATGTCAAGGAGAATAACCTCTGACCTACTTAAGCAGCTAAGTTTGGTACATATTTTGGGGAGACAAGAGAATTCCTTCTGTTCCCCACAAGTAACTCAGAAGTGATTAGATTTAGGAGCCACCTTACTCTGGTATGTATTAACATAACAAAAGAGAACTTTTATTTCTGGAAAGGATCACATTCACTGGTACAAAGGTTAAGATTGCAGTACTTGTTTAGTTTGGGAAATACAATTCAATTCATCATGGACAATTTTTGCTTGTTGCATGGACAATTTTTGCTTGGCATTAAAACAGTCACAACCACTAATAACTGTATGCACAACAGAACAAAATATTTCCCAGTCCATCTTCACAATTGTTCCTAAGCCTGAGCCCTTTGTGGTAGCCACTGTATCAATCCATCTCTATGAGAGCCTTCCTCTTTTTCACTGCTCCTCCACTTTACCAAATATGATGTCCTTCATTAGGGACTAGTGTCTCCTGACGTCCCAAGTATGTAAGACAAAGCCTTGCCACTCTTACCTCTGAGGAGCACTCTGGCAGTCCTTCCAAGACAGATCTGTTTGTTTTTTAGCAGTCCATGGTACTTTCACTATTCTTTGCCAGCACCACAATTCAAATGTACCAATTCTTCAGTATTCCTCCACACCCTTTTTTTTAACTTATGTCTTACTGATTTTGTTTATTCCCATTGAATAAGGAAGATTTTTCACTTAATCCACATTTAGAAAGAAAAAAATCACAATAAGATTTAATTACCAAAACAAACGAACTGCCATTGAATCAAATATGATTCATGTTGGCCCTATAAAACAGAGTAGAATTCCCTGTATGGGTGTTCTATAAAATTATAGACTAGATGTAATTTTAGGGAGCAAAACAGCTCATATTTTTCTCATAGAGTGGTTGGTATTTCCAATTGCTATATCCCTGAAATGGAACATTGTCCTCCAACTTGTAACAGTGTCTTTCACTAACCATGAAGTTCTATGAACTTCTCCAAGCTTTTCTCTGCTTCATTAGAGCCTCATTGTGTATGCAGAACTTACCAAATCTTGCCCCTTTCCCTTCCAGAAGTTAGCTATTCAGATGTTCTTTGTGGCCTGGCAGTCCATGATAAATATGTACATACTCTGAAATGTTGCCTGGAGGTTTTAGATAATAAAGACAGGAACCAAAGACAAGCTTAAAATTTAGTTATTTATAGCACACTTTCCTACTTTTTTTTCCTAGTAGAAGATTGAGGAGTTAATAATTTGAACAATTAACCGTTATTTTTATAATTTGAAGTTCCTTATCTCCCACACGTTTTCTTACCTTTTCTTCAGCATCTCCCTCAACATTTTTGTGTTGTGCTTCCTTGGGTTTATCATAGCATTCTTGCAGACTACAGAGTCAATCCTAGGAAAGGAAATAAAGTGGTACTTCTATTACCATTTATAGTTGGACATAACTTCTGAATATTGTGCTAAAATTTTTAATTGATAAAATTATATGTATAAGAATATGTAGTCTATGATTAACATTGCAATTTATAGATGTTAATTTCCATGTTCAGCTATGACTTATATGTTGTGCTTTTTTTATTATATGTTTGTTTTCTATCTCAGGCAAATAGAAACTGCATTGCAATTGCTTCCAGCCATGACGTTCAAGAATTAGATGTTTCAGGGATTCTAGCTACACAGATCTATACTTGGGTGGATGATGATGTAGAAATGGAAGCCAAAAGGTACCTATATTCTTTATTTCTACTCAGTAATAACTTTGTCGTATAAATGTCTATAGCTAATGAACTCTAGCTTTCAAAAGATTCTCTAAAGTCACATTATTGAGTGGTAAGCAAAGTTGGGGCTACTGTGTACTAAACTGTTAAAAGGGGAAAGCAGAAGCATCGAAGGGAATTGAAGATTTAAAGGAAGTGAGTGAAAGGATCTGAAATCATTTAGATATGAAGGCATTGTTTATAACTTAGGAGAAAGAACTGAAAGCAAATTAAAAAGAAAATGTAGATATAGATATTACAACAGTCAGCTGCACAAGAATAAAATCTGATAGTTATTTTCATTGATTCTTTTGTAGCTCAGAAGATTTCTTGGTTATACATGCTCGTGATGATTTAACAGCCGTTCAGGGTACAACTCCATATACACACAGTAATCCTGGCACTCCAATCAACATGCCATGGCTTGGTAGTACACAGACTGGCAGAGGAGCATCTGTGGTATGTAAAATTAAAAATGCTTTAATCCCATGTGTAAGAGTCCTATTTTTACTCCAATTAATGGATTTAGCATTGTTTAAGACAATTTTTATTTAGTTTGGCCAGAATAATATACTTTCACTTGAAAAGAAAATTAAGCAAAATCTGATACACAGAAGAACTAAAATAATTTTTTTGTAGTGATGTATGTAGGATCTACTGGAGCTCTGATACTGAAAGGATAGAACAGACTAATACACAGAACCAAAGAAACCGAGCACCATTAAAATTTTCAATGGTCTTGTCAAGGATGGTCAGTCCCACCCCTCTCATCACCAATTTCACAAGTCCTATGATGTGATTTACATGTGAAGAATGCTTTCCTTCCTCCTTTTCCTCTCAGAAAATTATTTCACCAAATAGGGTAAATGTTCAAGTAGAAGCTCAATCATCTTCAATAACATCGTATACTATTTTATGCTTAATGCAGTTCTGTATAACTTATATAATATTATAATTCTTTGAGATATGTGACAGCCACTATTTACTAGTTACCAATGGTGTACTGGTTGTGCATAGTGCTGTGATCCAAAAGGTCAGTGATTTGAAATCAACAGCCACTCCACAGGAGAAAAATGGGGGGTTCTACTCCTGTAAAGAGTTACAATCTTGGAAACTCTGTCCTGCCTTGTTGTGTCACTATGAATCAGCATTGACTCTATGGCAGTGAATTTGGGATTTAGGGGTTCTGTAGATAAAATGTGAAATTTAGAGCATATGGCTTAGGTCACCCTGCCAGTTTCAAGGTTTCATGTTGTAAAGCCCACCAGCTCCTTAATTCAATGACTTTTATATAGGAGTGTTTTGTTGTTGTTAGGTGCCATCGGTTGGTCCCTAATCAAAATGACCCAGTCTACAACAGGATGAAATGGTGCTCAATCCTGTGTTTGTGTTCGTTCCATCGTACCGAGGGTCTTTCTCTTTTCTGTAGACATTGTACTTAGCATGATGCTCTTCTCCTGGTACCTGGTCCCTCATCTCTGAAGTATGTGGGACAAAGTCTCCCTTTCCTTGCTTCAAAGGAACGTTCTGACTGTACTTCTTCCAGGACAGATTTGTTTGCTCTTCTGGCAGTCCATGTTATATTTAGTATGTTTTACCAACATTATAATCTGAAGGCATTAATTCTTTCTTTAGTCTTCTTATTCATTGCCTAGCCTTCTCATGAATGTGAAGCAATTGAAAATACCGTGGCATGGGCCAGGTGCATCGTAGATTTCAAAGTGATGACTTTGCTTCTTAACACTTTAAAGAAGTCTTTTGCAGTAGATTTAATAAGTCATTTGATTTCTTGACTGCTGTTACTATGGACACTGATTATGGATCCAAGAAAAATTAAGTCCTTGAAAACTTCAATCTCTTCTGCATGTAGCCTGATGTTACATATTAGTCCAATTGTGAGAGTTTTTGCTTTCTTTTTGTTGAGGTGGAATTCATGCTGAAAGCTGTAGTCTTGACCTTCATCAGAGAGTTCTAATATCCTCTTTCCATCAAAAAGATTGTGTCTCAATCGCTGAAGACAAAGCGGGTGAATAAGCAAATGTGGTGAAGAAAGCTGATGGTGCCCGGCTATCAAAAGATACAGCATCTGGGGTCTTAAAAGCTTGAAGGTAAACAAGCGGCCATCTAGCTCAGAAGCAACAAAGCCCACATGGAACAACATATCAACCTGTGTGATCAC